AGTCTATCATGCAAAAACTTACAAGCAACTTCTATCCCTATCTTGCTTTTTATTATGTTTAATCTCTAAACTCTGACCTTTGCTTAACAGTTTAACATTCACTGCAGTGAATGTTAAACAAAAAATTAATGGCTGGGAAAAACAAATTCCTTTCAACATTGCCCCAATTACAAGATATGAAGTACTTCTGAAGAAGGTATCTGAGTACAGTGACAAAAACAGCCAAAAATAAAGACATTAAGTCTAAAAGAATTGTTGACATCAAAGTAAAGATGATCAGTTATTTATAACCCATGAAGAATGAGTCTCCAATGCTGATTGCAGTCAATGGTTAGGTATAAGAGACACCAAAAGGCCAGCAACTAAAAACTAAGGCCGGCTTCAGTATATACATAAACAAAATACATATTCATAAGTTAAAGAGACTTGCAAGTATAATTAATGTTAATACAGCTCTTCAGATAACAACTCACCTAAAAAGATATCAACAAAAAATACATTTTTAACACCTCTCAAAAACATATCCACATATATAGTAATGTTTCTCCTTTAAAGCATAAAGCTTTCTATAAAGACAGACGTGAATTCCTGCTAAATGACAGACTGGTTTGTATTTAGCTGCATGCTTACTCAAAGAGATTATGGCATAAGACTGGAGTTTAAAATTAGTTATATGCATTCAAGAGACTAAGAGCAAAAGTTTCTCTACTCCCTTAGCACCTCAAGCATTAACCATGACCGACCCCTCCCCCCACTCTTAGTCATACTGAGGGAGCAATAATGCCTGGGGAATGGACACTGAAGCCGAGTATAATAAGGTATTGATTCACATAAAAAATGTGAGCTTAGTTTACAGCAGCCTGGTCCCACTTCTCAATGAAAAAAAAAAAAAAAATGTCTTACTATAACAAGTACAGCACCCAAATACACACAGACATGCTAGGCTCATGCAGATTGCCTTAACCAATAGGAGAATTGCCATCATCAATTCTCAAGATATCTCACTACTCAGAGAATCTGAGTTCAAACCCAGGGTTAAGCAACAACATTTGAGTAGACATTCCATTTATTTATTAAACAGTATTTTTATTTTCATCTACCAGACTGAATATTTGAGAAATTTTATTAAAGAAAAATATATGCTCTCTGGAAGGATTTGAACCTGCATCCCCTTATCAAGAGAAACTGTCATTAGATCTGATGTGATTTAGACTGTCTCATTGATAATTCAGCTATGTTATAGTGCCTTATAAACAAATCTTTCTCGGACTCTTTCTCTCTCTCTATATATATATATTTATTTCATTTATCATCAGAAGAGACAGCTACATAGAAATGGACAATTCACTTATATCTATGAAGTAGGAACTTCTGTAGAAATCATTGCACATTCGCTTCTAGTGGACTATAATATAAATTCGATAAAATAAAAAATATTTAGTTTAAAAAAATGTAAAGCAACAAAGTTTTGATATTTTATAAATACAATTGCAAAACTACTTAAATATTTTTATCACTTATTTTTTTTTTTTAATCACATAGTTAAACTAACTGGGAAATACAGTTGTTGCAGAAATAAGATCTTAAAAAAAAAAAAAAAAAAAAAAAAATCAACCCCTGACATTAGAGGTATACAAATGAAAAGAAACAATAGAAAAAATCATTTCCATTGATATACATTTGAAGAACTCATTCATACAAAGAAATTCTGACAGAACAAATAATTTTTGTATCAAAAAATAAAATCAGGAATGCAACCAACAAAACTATAATTTGGGGAATATTAAAATAATAATCAAAGACAGTGGCCAAAACCTAAAAGAAATTTTTTTCTGAAGGAAATACAGACTTGAAACATCTGTATTATTGACACTTGGTCTTCCCACTAAGCAAAAATATTGATGATTAACTTAGAGAATCTAAGTTTTTCATTTAATACCAACAAGAAAGCATTTACCTTAGAGGTAAACACTGCATTTCAGTCCTTGATCAGATAAACCATTTCCCTTTAAACCATTATTTATAAATAATCAATGTCTACTTTCTAATACAAAGCATTGTTACAAACTGTAGAATGTAGCCTAATGGATAAAAGTTCATGTGATTCGCTGGATATGTCCACTCCATAGGTCAGGTAGTGCAAGAATTTTATGCACCTAGTAAGCCTAAAAGAAAGTTGCTTTCAAGTTCTGAAATTTCTTATGATTAATAGGTAAATGGACATGACAGGGAAAGGAAAGTATTTGCCAACTGACAAACAGTCACACTTTTGTGATCAGTCTTGTAAAAAGTGCCCATCTCGTGACCCTCTTTACTTTACTTATCTCAGAGATGGGGGAGGGGTTCTCCAGCCACCAGACTGAAAACCTTAAGTACAGGACAGAGAACAACATACTCTCAAGTAATGTTGTTTGAAAAAAGGATCCTCTTTAACATCTTTAGAAATAGACACTTAAAGAAAATCAGAACATGGTGGTCAAAGCACTCTGATTTGATGAAGACAGCAAAGATGAGGAAACAGCAAACATCAAAATATAATTGTGTTAAATAGACACCTAAGCCAAAACTTATTCAATTCCATTTCAAGATAATCAAATTTTTTTTTTTTTTTTAGAATATCAAGGAAGCCTGTAAAATTCCCTCATTTTAAAAAGTTGGATCTCATAAAAAATATTAAGTTGTTACTAAGATTACAAAATAATTATTGGGACTTTAATGGAAATGAGTTAAAAAGTAAAACGAAATCAGAATAAATCTCAATAAGGAGAGAAAACAAAAAACAAAAAAATGACACCTGATCCTTAACAACGTGGGATAATAATTTTGCTGTGGTTAATAGACAAAAAGATTAGCAAGTGAAACAAATTGAATAAAGTTTTTAAACAGATTTCATTTCAAGGTTTTCTTAAACACGTTTGACTAAATTCTAGTGTTTGTAAATAAAATTAACTTTTTTTTAGTTTTTTTTTTATTCACTACGAAAATATTACAACAGCTATAAAAGAAAAAGTATAAAGAAAAGTTTCATTTAATATTTTGAAACGTCAAATTGTTAGTAAAAAAAAAAAAAACGAGAAATAAAAAGGCGATGAGTGGACATGTAATAAAGACAAAAATCTTTAGCATTTTTCACTCACGTAGGCGAAAATTCATAATACCTCTTTCTCTAGTCTTTATTCAGTTAGTGTTACTACTGTTTTATTAACCTATGCACGGAGGGTAAAATCAAATGAAGAAAAATGAAATGATGAAAGAAGATTATGTTGCGCCAATATTCCAATAAGCATGGCTTTTCTGAGTTTGATCACTGGTACTGGTGGTCAGTTGGCCCAACCATGAAACAGGAAGCTGAATTTAGCCTAAAATATAGAAACATCTACCTACATTTGTAAAAAAATTTTCCTTTTTTCGGAAATGAGAAAAAAATATTTAAAATTTCATAGTTATCAGAAGTTTTTAAAAATAAAGAGAAACATTTTAAGGGAGAAAAAATGAAATAAATTAAAAATTAAAAAAACCATGTTCAACGTGGCAACGTTTTGTTTCAACAAGGGTTCAAGTGTGTTTTGCCAAAGGGAAACGTGTCATTAAAAAAAACAACCACCTGTTGGGGGGGGAGGGCTAATAATAGTGAGAGAGAAAGAAAAAAAAAACAAAGATTAATTAACATATTATTGATAAACAACACCAAATTGGAAACAGGTGGGAAAACTTAATATACACCTTCAGGATTTCAGAGTACCCAAATAAATAACATTTCCAAATTTTGCAGCGAAACAAGCACTTTTTTTTTTTTTTTTTAAAAAAAACTTGTTTCATTAGAAATTTCTCAAATGCGCTGGTTTTGAACCCCGGCAAAAGAAAGTTTGTTTTTTAAATTGATGTTCACTTGAACTATTCTTTCTCAGTAAATGGAAAATTCATAATTTATAAACTGTAAAAAAAATTAACTAAAAAAGTTAAAGTAAATCTTGAAAATATTTCCAGAAACATGTGTGAAAATTTCTCTGAATAAATTATTAAAAAGGCCAAACCAAATGGGTTTACTGAATATTTTCCATCACAAAAAAAATAAAAGGTTATTTTATTTAAAAAAAAAAAAAAATAAAAAAAAGCTTTCCGAATATAGTTTTTTTTTTTTTCGGGGAGGGGGGCACTCATTCAAATCCTGAAACGTTGCCAGTTTTTTTTTTTTTTAGAGGATTTACAGTAACAGTATTTTTATTTTATTTTAATTTGATTTTCTACTAATTTGCAAATTAGATTTTTTTTGTATTTTTGATTTTAAATTTTTAAAAAGATGTAAAAAGACGAAATGCTTTTTTTTTTATTTTTCTTTGCCTTACTTTTTCGAGAATTAAACTTATAAAAATAAGAAGAAAAAAAAAACGGTGTATAGTTTTATTGACAGAAACTGAAAAGAGTAAAAAGTCGATGGTTAATACTTGTAGTACGTCATATCGTGAAAAAAAAGAAAAGTACTTTAAAACTATATATATACATATATATATATCATTCCACAACACAAAATAAATACTGAAAACGGTGTTAGGCATTGTCATCATATGATCATTACGCCGTAAGTAGGTCTGTTTAGAAGCGGGCATTTTGGAATAAGATTTTTTTAATGCTATATGTTCTGATATTTCTGAATTTTTATTTTATAGATTTTTTTTAATGTCTTCTTATTCTTCCAACAATAAAACAGAAACATTTTTTTTAAATAAGAGAACTTTTTAAAATCCAGACATTAGTAAAATTAAAAACGCAATTAAATCCTGATATTTAAATAAAATAATAATAATTTATATCTTCATCAAACCAAATAAAGTTAAATATAAATCTAAAAATATCAAACGACATTTTTACCACGCCTCATATATTAACAAAAAAAAGTCGTATTATGAAATAAATGACAAAAAATACGGATTGACCAGAAAAAGAATGATGATGATGCTAGAAAGTAAGTATTTTATAAGTATATAATAATAAATTCTTACCGTGCATTTGATAAACACTAATATAAGTGATTCCCATAGCCATCGACCAAATGACGACATTACACAAATCAGAATAACTGAAGTCGCTTTCATGGACGGCCAACCCGATATGAAGGGGTAATTTTCTCAGTTCTTTCGCATCGGTTCTGATTCGTCCCAACGTTGAAGAAGAAGGGCTCGATGGTACGACTTTTTTAACAGTCAGTCCCCTCTTGTTGTTATTATTGCTAGAACAAGAATAATACCATGAGAAGAAAAAGCCGCTTCGTCGCAAGAGACTGCTAGAACCCGATCGAAGCAATGCTTTTTGCCACCAGGAGTTGACACAGGACACTAAAGAAATAATATAGTGGATCAGCCTGAGTAGAAATCTGTCCAGAAACATGGCTCGAACAAATTGGCTGCCGAGCAGAGCCTGACAAGAAGAATAAACAGAGCAGCCGGTTGAAAACTGAATCGCATATACAGCATTAGGAAGCCATTGTTGCAAGCAGGACCGGGCTAACTGGAAGAGTATTCTCGAATAATAGAATACCTGAAGAATAAGATAATAATCGAACAGAAAATTATCTCCCCTTGATCGATGATACCATTGATTACAATCGTTTTAAATATTTCGGCCACCAAGTAAGCTTCCTCTATGGTTAAGAAGTTAGTTTAGACAGTTTTGTTCTTCACTCTTGTGAGAGACCATTATCAAAAGTAGATTATTATAGAGGATCAAACACGCTAGGAAGATATAGTCAATTTTGTGCTTTTATTTTCACATAATAAACTTGATTAATTCGTTTTTTACGGTTTATCAACCATTTGTAGGTTATTTAAAGCCAGAAAATGTTTTTAGAATTTAGATTCTAAGAATTTTTTTTTTAAGATAATGGTTTAGTGATACAAGTCTTACTAATTAACCTATGAAGTCATACCTTTGTTGTGGGTTGCTAGTATAGCGGTTGCTATGTTTTTCCCACCCACATACACTCCAAGTCATTTTATTCACCTGGCTAATATTGGCTAATAAATTACTACTACCTTTGTATAGGACAATTTAGCCATCACAGTCGTTCCTTTGAATCTTTTGGTTCTGAACATACTTACCTATTCTGTTTAGTACGTGTGTAGTGATTGGTTAATTTTTAACCAATCACATATTTTTAATGTAAGATCAAGTTTTCCCCGCAGTTCCATGGCAGCCTACCTCTTTTCCTTAAATAGGGAGACTTTTCGCAAGTCGCCAGTAAGATCCCAGCCGTCAACACAAATCTACGATCTTGCCCATCACACTCTAATGCAATTGTATTCTTGGTGTTATTCATTCTTCACATGCAAACTTTGCTCTAACAATTATTTCGGAACATTTATCTCACAAGAGAACTTTCTTCAAACAGTTGATTACAATCAATCTACAGTTAAAGGGAAACAACTTCCTTCACTTTAATCTCCATTGTGAATACGATTTTATTTTATGCTTGTTGTATTTTATTCAATATATATTTGTTGGTCGACAAATTGGATTTGTTGTTATTATTTCTTGAATCCTCTACGTGGAAGAATCATTAATATAAATAGTAGTAGTACCTATATATTTGGTGTTCCTGCTACATTTAGTGAATCGAACCAACGCTATATTTGGTATTTATGCTACACTAGTATGTTTGGGTAAATAATTATTAATCACTATTATCAAGTGGGAATCAATACCTTGGATGGTAAATATTTACAGGCTCCTGGAACATTTTTCCCACAATCAATACTGCCAGATTCAATATGAGTCCAGGTAAAAACAAGAAACAAATCAATAAATATAAAACAAACAACAATGTATATATTAGCAAAACAAAAGGAATTACAGGTGTAAACAATTGCAACAAAACGGGAAAAACATTGAAACAAGTTACAATAAGAATGTGCTTGTTTGTGTGTGTGTGTAACAAGCATGTGTGATAGACATGTATATGTATATGCATATGTATGGGAGAGTAAAAAGTCAAGAGAGAGAAAAAAATGAAAATTGTTATGGATATAAACACTTTTGATGAGATTTTATATGCTCCTGGTTCATTTGACATGATGAGAATTTTTGCTGTATTCGTGTATGGTCAAAGGAAAAATAAGATATAGAATTTGAAAAAAGATATATTAACAAATATATTGTGAAGACATTTTACAAAAGAAAAGATGAGAAATGAAATGTAAAAAGTTCAAAGCAACTAAGTGTCTGTAGTTGATTGCTCACATTTTCACAGGAGCGAAAAGAATACATCTTTTCATTATGAAAAGTCACTGAGAAAGAGATCAAGTCTTTCAAATCTCACACCACCTGTGATTATCATCAGGCGGCAGTAATTCCAAAATCTCACCACCTGTAATTATCATCAGGGGGCAGTAATTCCCAAATCTCACCACCTGTGATTATCATCAGTGGGTGGTAATCCGACAAAATGAACATGCCTGAGTGAGTGACACTTTACCCACATGCAACTACATCTAAAAGCCACAGCTAAAAAGGGCTAAAAAAGAGTTAGAGAGATTGCCTATGTATAGAGTGCCCCTAGTGAGCGCTTTTGGTAGAACCAAGTTGAGTAATCCACACCTTTCCCAAGGGTATTTCCTTGTCCTTGTAATGGCATTCACCCAGGGTGGGTTGAGCCAGCTCCAATATCAGAGTTTCATGGGAATTTGGAATTCACAAGCGGTCCCCAAACCCACATGTATAGCACATGAGATGTGATTATAGTGGTGAAGGTTTTGTGCAGGACCATCCACACTTTTTGAAGGGGTGATTACAGAGACCTGGTGCACTACGTGCCACAAGGTCACCATCCGACCCTCCACAGGTTTTGAATTCAGAGTTTTCCTTCTCCTAGACCAGTTGCCATCCAAAGCTATAGAACCCAGTCTGTCCTGCTATTTACCCATAGCTGGAGGAAGAAGAGGATTCACACCTTTCCCAAGGGTATTAGCACATAAGTGAATGTAATGGATTCGACTGGAATTCAAACTCGGCTTTCTGATTCCTCAATCCAAGCCGCTATCCATTACCCCACCGTGCCTCCTTCCAAGGGTATTTAAATGTAAGTGAATATAACAAACTCAACAAGAATTTGAACTTGGCTCTCCAATTAACAATTCCAAGTGATTATCCAAGCTTACCACACCTGGTATTCCCAAACAGTCACCCATCTAGGTACTAACCAGTTTTGATGTTGCTTAACTTCAGTGATCATGTGTAACAATCTTTTCAATCTTTGGCACAAGGCCATGCACCAAAGTATTTTTAATGATTGCATACATTGTATCCATTTTCAAAAATCAGTGGATGTAGTTTAAATGAGTTTCTATTACTATGACGTCACTTGTACAAATCAAAATACCGTTGGTTCAATTCGCCATTCTTGCTTTCTGCACAATTCACAATATAAATCCAAATTTTCTTCTCCAGTTTTTACTGCTTCAGCCCTCTTTTATCAGGCCAACACCACAGTCAACTAACCAATCAGCGTTCTTTGCTTTTATTCTCAGTTACCCAGGCAAATAGCCTCCTCTAGTTCGACCAATCAGCACACGACTTGCTATCGATGGAAGCATGCAAAATTATCCAAGAACCCTTGTTACCGCACACACTGCTGGAATTGCTGGACAGGTGAGTCATTTTCACAGAGCAAACTTTTGCCAATGTCATGTGTCGCACATTCAGGTAAGACCCTTATTTTCCTATGCACCAGATGCAAGCCAATCTGGCTCGCTTGCTTCTATGGAGCTGTTCACCAGAGTGGATTAAAAAAAAAATTCTTGATGAAATACAAAGAAGAATCTGCAATGTTACTGATCCTGACCTGGCATCTCAGCTTCAGCCATTTCCATAATGTAGCTTTTCTCTGCCTTTTCTATAAATACTTTCATGGTAATTGTTCTCATGAACTTTCCTCTATGGTACCTAGATTCTATGAATTTAAGTGCAGTACTAGATTGGCAGAAAGGTCTCATCATTTTACACTTGAAATGGCTGGTTCTATGCTAACAGTTTCTTATCTCACATTTCTTGCATTTGGAACTCTCTTCTGGCTTCTTGTTTCCCAGTCAACTTTGATTTTCAAAAATTTTAATACAATTATTATCTGTTGTCCTCTTCTTGTTCCTTTATTGTTCTCTCTCCTTAATAGTGTTTTTTTTTCTCATATTCTTTAACACTCAGTAACCACTTGCACTTTAGTGGCTTTATTGCCTTGCTTTGGGTGAAATGATTAAAAAAAAAGCCTAGATTATCATTCAATGTGTACATGAAATATATTCAAGGAAAGGTCTGTAAAAATGAAAATACTTTCCATGCACCTTAATATATAATAATAATAATAATAATAGTGTGTATATTTTGTCTTGGTGAATAAAAATGGGCTACAATAAATATCTGATTTAGAACCACAGATTTGCTTGCCACTTGCCTGACTTGAATCAGTTGAGCATGTCCCCTAGGAAGGTGACTTATTCTGCATTTTCATTCATCTGCAGGTGCAGTAGGGGAGCATCAACGTTAAATGTGAAGAGGATTTTTTTTTTAAATCTGAAAGATGTGGCAGCCAAGACAATATATAGTTACATGAGAATCTCCTCAGTTGGAAACCACCTAAGCAGATTGGATTACCTGACCAAAAAGTAACTGAGTCACATCTGGAAGGTTATGCATTGCTTTTATCAAAACCTGTCATTTGGCTGTGATGCATGTACTTGGTATACCTCTTTATCAAACTGGATAGGCTCTGCATATTCCTACATTTGCATCACTCTGTTGGTGTGCTGCAAATAATAATAAAATGACTTCATCAATGTGAACAGGAAATCAGCTTTGGAGTCAAAAGCCATAAAAAACGAAAATATTTGAGTAGAGGAGGTGGGTGCTTTATTAGAGTTTTAAAATTACTGAAGTATTTTCATGAAATTGATTTTCATGAAATATACTGAGGTATTTTCATGAAATTTATTTTCATTAAATATACTGAGGTATTTTCATGA